CAATGAAGCTTTAAAAAAATTGAAAGGCTTAGAAACAACAACTGCTGATTAACACAATCAGATCAGGTTATGTCACAGAAGATCATAACGATCACAATGAATAAAATGAAGATACCAGTTTTGAAACTCCATAATGATCATTAAAGTTTACTACTAATCCTTTGTGAATGATTTAAAAAAATTATCTTGACAGAAAACATAAGGTTTTATATTAAGCAGATGAATGAAACAGCAAAATTTAAAAATGTCTCCAGTACTGTCTCTCATGAGGGGCAAAACCCAAAAAGTTACCATGTACAGAATGGTAATACAGATAAGTAAATCATCCGTGTATATTTACCAGTCCTCATCTTCCGGTATCTTGCTTAAGGGGGGGTTCAGGCAGTATATATGATAAGCCATATTACATTCATCACACAGGAGTTGCATGTGAGCATCCTGTTTGCCACCACACAAGTAACACGAACAAAAACGGCACTCCTTATCTGGATCAGCCCTACAGTGCTTGCATTCAGGACCACTTTTTCCTGTCAAAAACAAAGAAATGTCAAATGCCATATATCTCAGAACAACACGTAACTGTATCTACAGGAAAAAAAACATTTCTGCAGAAGAATACTGCCCTCTAGAAAATACTTTTTTCTTACAGTGAGGTATTTGGCTATCTAGGCTGCTGAGATTTCTTCTGCTATATAAACAAGCAATAAGGAAAATGACTAATCACCAGCTTCTCATTTTCTCCTGTTCCAAATATGCTACCCGCACATTCTCCCTACAGATGGAGTCTTGATGCCAGTAGAAGCTGTACAGCTTATCAGTTCCTTGTAAGTCAGTTGCTTGCATAACTTAAGAAATCAAAGGAAATGTTTCTCTTGAATAGAAAGACAAGATGGATCCATGATGTATCCAGAGGAGTTCTGGATACTTTAAAGTTTTTCCTTAGTGTACTGAGAAGGAAACGAATGACTAAGGGTTTGCAGAAATCCTGTCCCCTTCCTATTGAAAAAAAAACCATGCCCTCCCAACTGAACAGACTTGACAGAAAATTCGATCCACAAAGTTAGAAGGTATCTGTAAAAAACCTCTATAGAGAGAAACTCCAAACTGAAACTCTTAGAAGAAAGGGGGCCTGGAATGCCAAGTATTGCGCTGTATCCGCAGTCTTTCTCGAGGACCTTGAATACTTTTATCTTCAAAGGTGGAACCAACTAGGCTTAGTGAGGAAAGGGGATGGAGTTTTGAGTGACAAAGATGAGTCAAGGGCTGCTGATCTATTAAGAACCAACATGGAACACATCTGTGAAATGCCTCACAGGAATTAGGGATTTTTCCTCTGAAAAGCTGACACGGATGAGAGCCCAACTGAAATGTCTCTACAATAATGCATGTAGCATTGTTAACAAACAGGAGGAACTGGAAGTGGCTGTGCAGCTGGAAAGCTATGATCTAACTGCAATCACTGAAACTTGGCGGGACAAATCACATGACTGGAGCACTCCAGTTGATAGCTATAATCAGTTCATAAAGAACAGGCAAGGAAGGAGATTTGCCGTCTACGGACTGACTGCACAGACCTGTCCTTGAAAAACAGCAATGAACAGGTTAAGAGTTTGCAGTTGGAAAGAGGAGGGTAAGCCAACAAAGGAAAGTTCATGGTTTACGTTTATTTCTGGCCACCCAATAGAGGGGAGCCTGTTGACAAAACCTTACTTCAACTGCAGGAAGTATCACTCTA